AGGCATGGGAACAACAGACCATGTCATTGTTCTTGCTTCCACTAACAGAGCAGATATTTTGGATAATGCTCTAATGAGACCAGGCAGACTGGACAGACACATCTTTATAGATCTGCCAACACTGCAGGTATCATTGGGTATCTTCCAAATGGGTATCCTTGTCATTTGTTGCTGAGCATTTAATAACAACTTAACCTTGCTGCTGTGCAGGAGATTTGGATTGGTTTGTTTCATTTCGATTGTTTTCCAGGAGAGGAAGGAGATCTTTGAGCAGCATCTGAAGATCTTGAAGCTGACTCAGCCAGCGAATTTCTACTCCCTGCGTCTGGCAGAGCTCACCCCAGGCTTCAGTGGTACGTGCACATTTATGGTTCTCCTTAGGGATGGGGATCAAGAACCAAAAAACTGTCCAGTCAATCGTAATCATCAAGCTTGTTAGCTTATCTTCTGTGTAGGCTTGCTCAGACAACAAATCAGGAATCAATAAAATAATCAGTATTGGTTTAATAAGTAGACTCCCTCTTGGCATTGGTATCATTTAAAGAGCATCATTCCTAGTCCTAACTGAAGTCTATGAACATCTTTGGGCATACTAAAGTACTGGTCTATCTGCCTCCATGAAGAAAGAGAAGTTCTAAATCAAAAAGGATAAAACATCTCAACACTGCTGATGTTGAAGTGTTATTCTAACGTTTGTTATCTCATGGTGTCTCTGCAGGTGCAGACATTGCAAACATTTGTAACGAAGCTGCTCTGCATGCTGCCAGAGAAGGGTACAAATCCATCGATACCTTTAACTTTGAGTATGCGGTGGAGAGAGTTATAGCAGGTACAATAATGCACACGCTAAGTTCTGGGAAATAAATATTTCTCATGTGTCGGTGGCAAAATCTGACAAATGTGTGTCATCAGGAAGCGTAAAGAAGAGTAAGATCCTGTCTAAAGAGGAGCAGAGGGTCATTGCCTTCCATGAGTCTGGACATGCCTTAGTGGGATGGCTCCTTGAGCACACAGAAGCAGTTATGAAGGTACTTGAAATGTGACGCATTCTATATAAGTAAATCTTTCCAGATCTAATTGTCATGTTTAGCTTTAATCAGATAAGTCCAAAGTGTTCCACAGAGCGTGTTGAGAGTAGGGTTTCATTTCAGAGGAGCACTTGTTTCTCCACTTCACCACTGATAAGTGTTTTGGCAGTTTATACAGATGCCTGGATTATTCATAATCCTGGGTCTCTCTTCAGTTGCTCCTTTTCTGCCTCTTATACCATTTGCTGTATTAGACTTTCACACATCTGTGTATAAAAACCCAAATGGATATGCCGCATGTCCCACACAAGACACAACTATGAACAAGGACTGTGGAGGTTATATGTTGATCTAGAAAAGCATACAGTTTAATAGGCTATGATACAAATGTAAATACTCTAAAAAGGCAACAGTGCAATTGGTTAACCCTTAATCTGTACAATTCACCTTTTTATAAACCTTTCATAAACTGACAGATCATGTGATGTGTTTCAGGTTTCCATTGCTCCACGTACAAACGCAGCTCTAGGATTTGCCCAGATCTTACCCCGTGACCAGTATCTCTTCACCAAGGAGCAGCTGTTTGAGCGGATGTGTATGGCTCTAGGAGGAAGAGCTGCTGAAGCAATCACCTTTAACAAGGTTACTACAGGTACCCTGCAACTAATCTTCACACGAATCAGCTGCAATGTTAAAACCACCTGCTTGATATCGTTAAGGTTCTCTTTTTCTGACACTAAACCAGCTCTGGCCTGTTGGAGCTTACAGTCAGGCCTTCTTTGCAGGTGTCCTGTGGGGTCTGCTCCAGGGTAATTTTAGAGGATCTTTTGGGTCTTGTGGGGGGCTAACCCAGCTATCATAGGCTACGTTCACACTGCAGGTCTTAATGCTCAATTCCGATTTTTTGATCAAATCCGATTTTTTTTGGTCTGCTCGTTCACACTACAAATAAAATGCGACAGCAAACGCGCTGTAGTGTGAACGCTTAAAGCGGCCCGCATGCGCAAAAGAAGATGTCACACACAACGCGCTCTGTTTAGACCCAGACCAAACAGTATTGTTTGACTGATGGCCCTTAATATAAAGACTTCGGACTTTACATTTCCCAATTTTTGCTTTAAGTTATTTTGTTATTCACATAATAATGTAAATAACCTAATAATTATCCTTATTGCTGTTTTAGAGGAGCGGTGCTTCAAAGGATAGTTGCAGATTTCTGTCAGAATCTGCAGATTATACAGTACAAATAAAATGTTCACATTTCTCCAACGTTGTCTTCCCAACAGTTTCACTGACATCTACACTGGATGGCCAGGAAGCGTTCGCGATGTCTTCTCTGGAGCTGATAATTGGCGTCTGTCTTGTTTCAGTGACGTAAAAGACGGATTTAATGCGACATGACCGATCAAACAGCAGTCGCTTTCTGAAACATCAGACATGTATCGGATTCAGTACCACATACGAAAGTGACCCAGATCGGATTTGAAAATATCGGATTTGTGCCGTTCACACTGTCACACCATGATCGCATATGGGTCGCATAGGGTCAAAAAAAATTAGATTTGATGCGCTTTCGCCTGCAGTGTGAACATAGCCATAGGGTGAAACTGGTTGGCACTCTGTTGTAGGATCTGTGTTTCAAGGTTGTTCCTGTACACCTGGATATTCTTACCAAGCAGTTTTTGTGGTGTAGAGAGGTCCATTGTCCTCCTGGAGTAGACTGTTATCATCAGGGGGAAATGTTGCTATTGGTGTTTAGTGTGATTAGTCTCCAACTGTGACAAACTAACACACAGAAGAAAGCCAGGATCCAAGGTCAGAGAGCAAATTGTTACATTAACATGACTGATGATTTACACCCATGTTTATGGTTTCTATTTCCTGTAATCACAACCTACCAGTGAACACTTCTCTTTTTTTTTTGGTCATACTGCTTACTTTAAATACATTTTCTATTATCAGTCAAATATCTAATTGCTGGGCAGCCAAATAAATATTCTCCCTTTTGGCAAGTTTGGTTAAACCTGAAAGATGTGGGAGTGGGCTTTAATTAAATTTAAACATTAAGCGTCTTTTTTTCTGTGTCCCCAGGAGCTCAAGATGACTTGCGCAAGGTGACGCGTGTGGCCTACTCCATGGTGAAGCAGTACGGCATGTGCGACAGTGTCGGGCAGGTCTCGTTCCCAGAAACAGAAGAGCAAGGTGCCATTGGGCGCCGTCCTTTCAGCCAGGGCCTGCAGCAGCAGATGGACCATGTGGGTTCAAAAATCGGATTAGTCCTCTGTTCTCAGATTAGCACTGTGAATGTTGAAGTAATAAGCTAATATTATTATGCTAAAGTATACATTTGTAGCTCTTGCAGCTGTTAGAGTATGTACGGGACATTTTCTGAAGGTTTGGACGCTTTGCTACAAGCATCCTATTAAAAATAATATTTTTTTTATAATCATAATATTTCTCAGTTTTAATGTTATTTGTATTCATTCAAATGTAATCTTAAAAGCAGTTGCAAATCATTGACATTTGTTTTAAAAGTGAATTGGTAAATTTGAATACATCTTTCTGTATTTGCAGGAGGCTAAGATAATGATAGCTCGTGCATACAGACAAACGGAGAAGCTGCTCCTGGACAACAGAGACAAACTAACACTGGTCGGTTGTTTTCTTCTTTATGCGTTTTAATCATGTGAGGCCAATTCTTCTGTATTGCCTTTAAAAACTCGCTGGGTCTGTCTTTCCAGTTGGCCAATGCGCTGCTTGAGCGTGAAGTCGTGAACTACGATGACATTGAAGCCTTGCTGGGTCCACCACCCCATGGGCCCAAGAAGATGATCCTCCCACAGAGCTGGGTGGAGGCAGAGAGGGACAAACAAGACACAGGAGAAGACGAGCCTCAGCCGCCTCCACCCCACAAGCAGACAGACGAGGACATGAACCCTCAGCTGGTGTGATCTTCGAAATGTACAGCGTATTTAGTCCCTTCTTTAGTGCTTTATATTTCTAACAGTGAAAGTTTATAAAAAACTCTGCAGTCCGTGCAAACTTTCGTGCAAATGAACATTTGCAGTTGTCTCCACTTAGCTAATGTGTGTGATAATCTGCAACTTTCAGAATGAATATTTTTGGGGAATTCCATCATTTCTCTCGTGTGCTTGCTGCCGAGACATATGATTATGCAATGTTGACAATAAAAACAAGTGTTTTTAAACAGGTTTACAAACAAATACAAGTGCTAACAGTTGAGAAAAAGCCTCTGAACAGTATTTACTTTGTGCACTTAGCAGGTTTATGCCAACATAGGTGTTGATGGCTCCAGTAGATGTGATCTTTTTAATTTAAAAAATATAATAAATCATTTTCAGGGTTAGCTTCAGATATTTCTTTGGAAAATCTGTGTTATTTTAGATGGCAGAAGTGAAGCTGCTTGAGCATTTGTAACTGGAGTTTTTCTTTACTGAAATAATCTGTACTGTTAGGTCACATGCACAAAATATATTGGCACTGATGTTTGTGACTGGGGTTTTAAAAACTCATCAAGGTGTGCATTAGTCTGTAGTGAGCTGCAGTTAGACCGCTTAGACCTGAAACAGAGGCGGTGAGGAATAACTGTTCTGAGGAAACCACATTCTGCATTTTGTAAAACACCTTTAAAGCTGAGATTTCAAAATGTATGTCATGCTGGTGATGAAGCAGCAGATTTTCCACCACACACTTTGGTCTTTCTCTCATCTTGAATCAGTAATTAAGTAGGAACAGATTAGAAGGTGTTTCTTTTTTGAGAAACGATGTTTGTCAGGGACTGCACGTTGGTTTTATTGCTAGAAGTGAATATAAAGCTCCAAAGAATGGTTTTGCCAAATATTTAAATAAAGTTTTATTTAAACATTGTGTTGTTCTTTGTGGAACATCTAATATTAATGGTATGTATTGATGATGATAATGATAATAATAATAATAATGATGATAATAATGACAAGAAACACAGTAAAAAGGTTCTGGTTTATTCATTAGACACGGGTAGAATCGTGCATATATGCATATATGTAAAAAAAATCTTCACTTCCAAAAAGAGTAATTACAGAATATTTTATGGTTCAGTATGTTTGTTGACATGGCTTCCAAAAAGATTAACAGATGCTGGAATGAAGGATCAGTCACCAAAAAAGGCAAATTTAATATGCAAGAAAATTAGTCTTATAAAATAATCATGTATACAAAAACAAGAACATATTTAAAATCTCAGGCTTGTATGAGTCATTACTGAGCCATCCAAGAATGAGAGCAAACAACGCCAGACATGAACGCACATTTTAACACATTTTTTGCCCTGTAGCATGCACACCTCGTTTCCTCGTGACTGATCCTTTCAACTCAAATTTCTCACTGTCTCACTTTCTTTTCCTGAGCTAACCACAAAACTTAGCAGTGAGCCCTTTTGTCAGTGTGTCCACTAAAACACGAGGCACATTAGATCTAAGGCCTGTGCTTTTACAGCATTCGTTTTACCTGGACACACTTTAAATCTTGCTCTGGACATTTCAAATGTGCCCAGAAAGAAAAAAACAAACAAACCTCCAAAGGCATGATCTGTGTCCTGAACTGCTTGTCAATCACACAGGCATCCTTTCTGTGGCATACTGTTCACCCTAACGCGGGTCATACATGTTGGCAAGTTTCTTAAAGCGTGGTCCCCAGTCATTAAGGTAGTCGTAATCCTGATCTCCATCAGAGCTACCCGAAGCAATAGAGCTGAGGCTTCCTGCAAGAGAGCCATCTCCTTCATAGTCATATATGAGGGCGGTGTCGTATGGAGGCACATTTGGATCATGGTCAGCAGCTTCCAGGCCCTGAGGAAAGAAAATGTTTCTTAGCTGATTAGGTTAAATAAAAAAAGGCTATGGGAATGCTGTTTAACCTGTAAATGGGAGATGTATATAGCTGGGCATCATCTGCATAGAAGTGCAGTGTTTTCTAATAATAGTGCCTAAACGTAAAATATAAATAGTATTGGTGCTATTACAGAACCCTGTGTGACAAAGACTTCCCCTTTACGTGCTCAAATTGGAATCTATTAGATGGATACAGCTCAAACCACTGCAGGACATTTCATTTATTACCAACAGTGTGTTCTAATCTCTGCTGTAAATGATCGTGTCAACAGTGTAAAATGATGCACTGAGGTCTAACGAAACAAGCACAGAAATGGGGCCAATGTCAGAGTCCATAAGATCATTTGTCACCTTCAGTAGTGATGCACTGTAAATCCTGGCTTAAACTCTTTAAATAAACCATTCCTCTGCAGATGATCATGTAGTCGTTTTACAACTACGCTTTCAAGAATGTTTGAAATAGCAGCATAGTTGGAGATTAGTTGGTTTATAACCAGCTACTATAGTTAGGCCAAGTAAAGGCTTTTTAAGTAGTGGTTTATTTACAGACACTTTAAAGCCTGCAGATTTCAATTCAGTTTTATGTATATAGCACCAATTGAGTACGACAGTTACCTCAAGACACTTTATATTGTTTGATAAAGACCCTACAATAATAGACAAAACCCCCAACAATCAGACGACCTCCTATAAGCAAGCCCTTGGCAATTAGTGACAAAAAAGTAAGACGTCCTAGCTAACCCTGTCAAACCTCTCGAATTTGTTGTTTTCTCTTTCAGATGAGCAGCAATATCCAGCGTCTGCATTGTGTTGGCACATGACAGTGAAGAAAACAATAAAGAAGGAAGCACTTAAAATTTCATTACAGCACTTTCAGACAGATATCTGCTGTACTGAAATTGTTTTTCCAGTGTAATCCATTAGTGTAAAATTAAATGTTATTAAGAAATGGTCAGACAATAAAGGGTTTTGGGGGGAAAGCATTAGCCTTAAGCAGAGATGAGAAGCAGGAACACTCTCAAAGAAAAAAACATAACTATAAAGTAGATAATAATCATCTACTTTAAACTTGAAACTTACTTTAAAACTCATGAAATTCACCCTTGAGTGTATGAGTCTTTCTGTGCTATGGGCATGCCTTTATGATTACACATGTAAACATAAGAAAACACAATCCAGATTTAGTTGTGCTGTGTTTGGTTGTCGTTTAGAATACCTGTTAGTAACTTCATTAGTTTTGAAATCTAATGATGCATGTTTTATTTTATGTAGATTTGGATTGAGTTTTTGCTTCAAGAGCAAGTTTTTCTTTTATTTATTGTGTTAAATAAATAAATGGTAGGAGCCTCTCACGTCATTAATGTAGTCCTCGATGTCAGTAGGATCTGCAGGAGGCCTCCGTGGGTAGGTGGGCGATGGAAGGTTATGTGGGGCGTCCTTTCTAAGGGGCTGCTTCCCTCGAGGAGGAATTCCAGACCCTGGGTAAAAGGACCCCGGGGTGGGGGGTGCATCATGGGGATTCCACAGCAGGTCAATATTAAAGGCGTTCTGCATTGTGAGAGAAAGAAGTCAGACACACTCAAACCATCAGTTACAATGAAATATTATTAACATTCATTACATTACAAAGAGTAAGACTCTCTTCTGTACACGTGCCACTGTTTACATGGTCTCCCAACCTGTGTTTTAGCCTTACCTCATCCTCCTCGCCTCCACCTTGCTCATCATAGTTGAAGACATTGTCACGTATGTCGTCTTCAGATTCCCCGATGAGCAGTCCTGTTCCTTTCTTGATGTGGTGGCGTCTTCCACAGGCAGTAACAGCAACAGCCAGGAGGAGAAGCACTGCAAAAATGAATGTATTAATGTTTATCTGATTATTCATTATCGGTGTTTTTTGTATCTACTTTTTTTCTTACATTTTGCTTCAAACATAAATGGTCAGTTAACTAATCTAATTATTGCAGCTTTATTTTGTTAATGCATGCTGGGATTTGGATACATGTTTTGCCTGTTATTCTCATGGCTGGATCATAAGTCTTTGCGATTATGTGTGCACTAAACTGCATGCAAAGCAAGTCACTTATTGCAGGTTTTAACCTATTGTGGCAAACTTTTTCACTAAAGCAGCAATATGGATATGGATTATTTTGCACGAATAACCCATCCATCTTGCTAAATCTTTTTGCTTTAAACATTAATTGAAAGGCTGAAATTACTTACACAGCAGGAGTGCAGTGCTCGCCGCAATGATAATGAGTGCGATGAAGTTGATTCCCACACTGGAGCCTAAGATTGCCCCTGCCTCAGACTTGCAGTCTCTGAAGGAGTCACAGAGACAAACAGTGACATTGACCTGAGCCTCAGCACTCAGAGCTGGGCTGCCGGAGTCCGATACCTGCACCATGACAGCATAGTCTCTGAACTCCAGGTCTACAAGCGGCTGAAGCATGGCATGAGTATCTAAAAAAAAAAGAAAATTTAAAAAGAAAATGAGAGGAAATAATATTTGCAAGCTCCTAAGTGAACGACCATTAATTCTGCTTCTTGTTGCTCTTTACCATTTACTTGAGTGATGGTCCAGTTGGCTGACAGATCGTCAGGTATTTGAAAGAGGAAGGGTGCAGCTTGCGGAGGAAGGTCTTCATCTACAGCAGTCAGAAGCAAACCTTTACGTGACCTGCTGCCGCCTCTGCATACAAAGCCAGTCAGGGGGAAAACCTGAGGAGGGAAGTCATTCGTCTCTTTGAGTGTAATCGCCACTGTAGCAGTGGCTGAAACACCACCAGCATCTATGCAAGAAAAGATAAATACACAATGTGTAAATCAATAGCAAAACAACAAAATGAATCAGCTTTGAATGTACATTGATTTTTTTTTATGCTAAAAGTCTAGAATGAGTAGACGTGCTGACCTATAACCTTCACAGCAGCAGTGTAGATACTGTTTTTCACATGTGGAGATCTCATGTTAAACTTCCTCTTTGCTGTAATGTCTCCTGTATCTCTGTTGATGTCCAGCCAACTCTCAGGATCTCTGCTAATCTCATACCTATCATACAGACAGCAGAGGAAATTACCCCGTGGTCGCATATTTATTTATTTATTTTAGGAAATAGGAAAACATCTCTTGTTTCACTGCCATATCATACCTCAGATCAGAATTATCAGGGTCAAAGGCAATATTGTTTTTCAGTAATGTGCCAGGTTTCACAGACTCGAGGACCTCAATCTGTATGGGCTCCTCTCTGAAACGTGGGGCTTCATTCTCATTCACAACGATGACCGTAACTGTGGCAGAGCTCAAAGTCAGCCTGGAAGCCTTGCTGCTCGGAGGATTAAGATTTTCCACGCTCAAAAGAAGGCGGTATTCGCTCTGCGCTTCATAATCCAGGGGCTGCAATACAGAACAGGAGAGACTTAAAGTATAAATGAACTAAAACAACAAATTCAGTCATCTCATGTAATCTGAAACAGGATTTAACATCTGATTGGAAACACAGGCCTATATTTACAAAGTATGTTTTTTAAGAAAAATGAAAAACACACACAAATGTACGTGAATGTAGCAAATTCAAATTAAAACTCATATGTGGAAAATTAATATGAATTTTTCCTTTAATTTGTCAGAAGGTTCAGCAAATATATTAAATTTTCTGGAAATTATTTCATGATTCAGGCTTTAAAGCAGGGGTGTCAACATAAGGCCCGGGGGCCAGAATCAGTCTGGCAACACTCCAGTCTGACCCACTGAAAGGCTTCAGAAAATGTGGAGGAATGCATAGATTTTCAATTTTTTCCCCTGTAGACCTCTCCATCACCATTCACAGCATAGGAAAGTAAACTAAAAGATAAACAATTAAATGACGGAAAAGTTCCTGTTTTAAACCATCAACTGGAACATTTGTCTGGGCAATGAACTATCAGAATTTTTAGCATAATTTCCCACATTTATCATGTAGAAAAACAGAGGCTTATTGATAAAACTGTTCTTCTTTTCTTCATGTTAAGACTTCTCAGGGACTAAATGTGTACCTAAATGTCTTTACACTTATACAGAGTAGAGTTTGACTTCTCTGGCCCACTTCAGATCGAGTCTAAATGTAAAATTACATCTCTGCTTTAAAGTGGATCTGAGCACAATGTAGTTTGAATACAATCCACTAGATGGTGGTGTTTGATAGAGTATGACGGTCTCAATGGCCATGTAGATTTAAAGGGTGATGTCAGTTGTTTATGTCAGTATTTTTGAGCATGCGATTTACATTACCTGGAGCAATGCAAATAGATCTCTACAATCCAGAATTGATTTATGGTTAATATCTTCTCCATGTTTACATTTTGTTTCAGAATCTTCTCATGATTTTGCTCCATTAACTGATCACAAATTGATCACAATTCACTTAGTTGGCAATAAACAAAGTCAAAGTAAACGACGTGGTTTTTGGAAGCTAAATAATAATTTATTGAATGATGATACATTTTGTAGTATAGTGGAAAAAACGGCAGATCAGATATTCGGGGATACCAATATGAATCACACACTAAAATGGGAATTTTTCAAATTCAAGGTAACGGAAGCGGCAATAAGGCGAAGCAAAGAAATTAAAAAAAGACATGACACTAAAGAAATCAGTATTATGAATGAATTAAACATATTAATGAAGAAAGATGCTCTATCAGATGATGAAGAAATTAAATTGAAAAGACTAAAGGAATAAATAGATAATGCATATATTAACATGGCTAAAGGGGCTTTTATAAGGTCCAAAGCAAAATGGCTAGAACTAGGTGAAAGAAATTCTAGTTACTTTTTTGCTCTTGAGAAACGAAACCAAAGAAGAAACAATATATCTGCTCTTAAGATTGATAATAGCATAACCACTAATTATTTAGATATCTCAAAACATGTTGGTTCATTCTACAAATATATATACAAATCAAATTGTAATATCAATGATTGTGATAGATTTATCGAGTCAGTTAAAAATTTTGCACCAACTATCTCAGAAATAAAATCAGAAATTTCAATTCAAGGCAATTCGATCAATGAAAAAGGGCAAATTTCCAGGTAATGATGGTTTGTCAGTGGAATTTTATTTACAGTTCTGGGATATCATTGTTGATCCTTTATTAGAATTATTTAAGGAATGCCTTGATGGAAAAGAAATGTCCACAAGCATGAAACAGGGTATTATAACTTTAATTCCTAAACCTGATAAAGATCTTCTTGTTATAGAAAATTGGAGACCTATCACTCTTTTGAACATAGATTATAAGATTATCTCATTGGTCTATGCCAAAAAATTAAAGAAAAATCTTGATAAGATCAAAACTGAAACGCAAACCGGATTTATGACCAACCGCCATATCAGTTCAAACATAAGGCTTATTTTTGACCTATTAGACTACTCTGACAATATAGATGATGATTCCCTTATTGTGTTTCTTGATTTTTATAAAGCTTTCGATACGGTAGAACATTATTTCTTATTTAAAGCACTCAAAACCTTTGGTTTTGGTCCAAACTTTGTGTCAACTATCGAAATGTTTTATAAAAATATTGACAGTTGTGTTATACTATATCCAAATACTACTAAAAGATTTCCAGTCATGAGATCTGTTCACCAGGGTTGCCCAATTTCACTCTTTTTATTTTTGATTGCGGCTGAACCACTTTCATTACACATTTTAAATATCCCAGTCATTAAAGGTTTATCTATTTTTGGTAAAGAAATCAGAGTGACCCAACTAGCAGACGACACCGTTTTATTCTTAAAAAACAAAGATCAGATTGAAAATGCTATTTCATTAATAAATGATTTCTCAATTGCCTCTGGTTTAAAACTAAATAAATCTAAATGTGAAATTTTAAGTTTGTACCAATCAAATGTCAAATCCTTATACAACATTCCTGTCAAAAACTGTGTTAGATACCTTGGTATTCATGTCTGTAAGAATGACACAGAGCGTCAACAACTCAACTTTTCTCCCAGGATGGAAAAAACTAAAACTATACTGAACTGATGGCTCCAGAGAGACCTATCAATTTTTGGTAGAATCCTTTTGACTTAAGCTGAAGGTGTTTCCAGATTTGTGTATCCAGCCCTTTCCCTTAATGTGTATGATTCCACATGTAAAAATGTTAATAACTTATTTGTTAACTTTGTATGGAAGAATAAGCACCATCATCTAAAACAATCGTTGCTTTGTGGACCTAAAGATAAAGGTGGTTTTGACCTTCTGGACTTCATGGATCTGAACTATACATTTAAGGTGAAATGGGTAAAAGAATGCTTAAAATCTCCTGGATCATTATGGCATTTCATTCCACATAACATTTTTAGAAATGTTGGAGGTTTACACTTCCTATTGTCTTGTAATTACAGTATATCAAAGTTACCAGTTAAAATGTCTGCATTTTATCAACAGGCATTGTTGGCTTGGAAATTATGTTATTCACATAACTTTTCTCCACATAGATCTATTATCTGGAATAATGAATGTATTACTAAGAGGAACAAATCACTATATTTGCAGAATTGGATTGATAAAAATATAATATATTTAAAAGACTTATTTGACTCTGAAGGCCAGCTACTTAGTTACAATGACTTTATTACAGAAAAAACATTCCCTATCAAATTTAAAGATTTTAGCTCTGTAATAAAGTCCGTTCCCAGCGGACTGACTGAGTTGATGAAAAGCTACAAAAAACAGAACACACCACATGCATCCGTTAACAGTCTTTATATAAATGGTATTGATTTCTTAAGCAAGAAATGCACCAATAAACATATTAGAGAATGTTTGTATAATGCGAAGAAAATAACTCCAAGAGGAAGTTTTTTGGAATGCTAGTTTGATAATATCAACTGGGATAAAGCGTGGCTTGTTCCTTTTAGATTTTGTATTACAAACAAAGTTAGAGAATTACATTTGAAAATATTACATAACATATATTCATCCAACACGTATGTTTCAAGATTCTGTGACATTGATAGAAAATGTACCTTTTGTAAAACTGAACTTGAAAGTGTTACTCATTTGTTTTATGGCTGTTCATATAGTGCTACATTTTGGAGAGAGCTTGAAAATTATATACTGTGCAAGACAACATACGAAATCAAAATTGAAGGGAAGAACATTATCACTTATTTTGAAACTAAAGGGAAAAAAAATGTGCCATTGTCAATCTTTATATCTTATTAGGGAAATTCCATATACATAAATGTCAATTTCAAGACTCAACCCCATCATTTAATTTGGTTTTGATTGAAATTGAATATTACTTAAACTCTCTTAAATTAACTTCCAATAAAAAAGTTTTATCATTGATTGAAATTCATTCAGAAATGTTTAACGAATGAGCTGTCACAACTTTCAAGTACAAAGTTGTTATGAAGTCTGTCACATCCCACCCCCCCTTTTTTTTTCTTTTCTTTTTTTCTCCTTTACTTATTTCTCCTTCTTATTTCATTGTACTGTATATTGTTACTCTTATTTGCCTTGTATGTCTACTGTACAAACTGAACTGGAATGACTGACTGTTCGCTTTATAATTTCAATAAAGTTTGGAAAAAAAAAAGCATGCGATTTACAACAATCCTGGACACCAGAAAGATCTTCTTGTCTTGTCATGTCATTTTTTTCTATTATTGCTATTTTTCTATTCTATTACAGCTATTGCTGTATAAATTATTAATGATTAAATTATCAAATTTATGTAAGTCCCCAACTTTTACCTGTTTAATAATGTTCAATATTTAATAAAGAACCACATTGTTGTCCCTGTTTCTGTGAATGCTTTGGAAACATTCCCTCCCCCTCCCCGGCTTTACCTTCACCACTGTGAGGACCCCCTGGTTGGTGATGGGATCAGTATGGACAGCAAAGTTTCCTCTGTAGTCATTTGAAATGAAGTATCTGGCCTTCCAGTTTTTCGTTCCAGTATCGTCTCTGTCTGTCACATTCACTCGCCCGAGCTCGTAGTCGTTCCTGTTCTCCACCGCTGTCATGTTGTACTACACGCGCCACAAACAGAAAAGAAATCACCGATCGTGATAACAAATTGAAGTGACAGGTTAGATCCTAAAATTACGGAAAGTATTTTCCTGAGACTTCTGAGACTTACTGAGTCAGGGCTGAACTGCGGTGCGTGGTTGTTGATGTCAGAAACATGTATGATTGCCACACCTTCACTTGTTAGTCCCATGCCCCCCATATCAGCCACCTGTAGTTTTAACCTGAATTCTTTCACCACCTACGGGACGCAATACAGCACGTTAGTGAAATAAAAGCATTATGATGCTCTGCAAAAGCCCTCCTCCTGTTTACCTCTCTGTCCAGGCCTACATCTCTTGTGTAGATGGCACCTGTCTTGTTGTTGATGCCAAACATGATCTTGGTAATGGCGTTGGGAGGAATGCTCTCCTGGTCAATGATGGAGTAGCTCAGAACAGCGTTTTCTGTCATTGGGTCGTCTACATCTGTGGCTGTCACTGTCATTACCGATGTGCCTGTCGTGAATGATTGAGAGCTCAGGTCAGCGGGACAGATCTCATAAAGTCCCTCAAAAGATCCATCAGAGTGGATCACGGATGTGTGGCGTTGGTGCTGAGACTGCAGGACTTCATTGAGAAAATGTCCAACGTTACAAAACGCCGTGCCTTTAAAATGGACTATTAGGTGAAAAAAATAGTTTGCTTGTTATTATCTAAATGGGTCATATATGTGTGTACCTGGGACTGAGAACTCAGAGACAGTGCCCACAAACGGGCTGTGAGGGAAGACAGGTCTATTGTCATTCTGATCCAGCACTAATATCTCTATGGTGGTCGGATTCTCCAGTCGCTCTCCACTGGGGGACAACGCGAAGGCTTTAAGCTACACACACACACACACACACAATACAAATACAACAGAAAATGTGTTAGAATCAAATATCACTGTGCTTGCCACAAACATCCAACTATGGAAGCATGATCGGCAGAGCTAAGTTGAAAATTGAACTTGAATTGAACTTATTTTCTCAGAAGTTTTAAATTTTGACTTATACATGGTTGGTTTTTTTTCCAGTGGCAGAAACAATCTTCCATATCCAGCAATCCCCTCAAGGTGTCTTTAGACTTTTACATTATCTGAACACAACATGTGTTGGCAGAAAGAAAAGAGCAGGATGTTTGGGTCAGGGTTACATCACAAGTCATATGATCTCAAACATTCAGAAGTCCTTCCCGAGATGCTCATAAAGATCCCTGGAAAGCTGACCTCTGGCTTTGCTTTGTTTTGCTTTTTCCTGTCTGCTTTAAGGCAGAAACATGCTCTGGAACACACGGGAGCTCTTAAACAGCACGTTGTAGCTTGTGTAAGTTAGCACTTCTGGCGACCTGTGCTTTAAAACGTAACTCCCATAAACGCAGTCTTACCGTGAAGTTGCTGTACTTCTCTCTGTCCAGTGGCTGCTTGCTCCTGATCACCCCTGTCTTGTCATCAATCTCAAACAGGTTCTTGGGCTCCTGGTCAACCCCCTGTCCCTCTAACTTGTAGATTACCTCACCGGTGAAGATTTTGTCAGATTTGATCTGGACAGAAAGATTAGAGAAAGCTGATGATCATCAAAAACTTCAAATGAGTCACTTTGTGGACAATTAGGGCTGTGAGACTAATCAATACAACATGTTTGTATTTTTTTTATGTAATAATTTTTCTATAAAATGGCTATTTCTCAGTGTAAGGTATGATTTGTACATTTAGGTCATGGGAAGTCTGCAACAACGGCTCTATGTTGTGTGTAATATGTTTGAATGAAATTTACAGTCAGTGTTGTTCAATATTAAAGAAATCAACTTAATAGGATTCAGTCCTCACTAATTAACACAATTAGCGTGGACTTAGTCTTTAGAAGGAAGTCACCAAACTCTTTATTTACTGCACCTGCAAAAGTTAGCACCTTGTTGGGAAATCTGTACAAAGCCTATGAGTGTGCAGTGCCCCTCAGTTTCTCAGATGTCATTATGCCTGGTTTCAAAACAATAAGCAAATGTCTTCATGAATGAAGCTTATATATAAATTCAGTCAAGAAGCTCTGTATTCCCTCATCTGCATTGCATTGCTGGATGTGGTGGGGGCTCCTAGTCTCTTTTTTACTCCCCCCCTGCTTTTCCCACGGTGTTGTCATCACCCTGGCCCAATCATTTTCTTGTCTGCCTTTTGCAAGCCAGTCAGCCTCAGTCCCATGTGCTTTAAACCTCACTCTCATCCGTGCAACCCCCATCCTCCCCCAATCCACCGCTTCCGTGCCAGATAGAGATTCTCGTTCAAATCTCCACCTGCTTCGCCTCTGCTAACACCAGTGTCTGGACTCTGGAGGGTTCTGGTCTACTTCCTAACACGGCACTGCTTTGCTATGTTCACTTCTGATCATCAAAAAGTTTATTACTCAGACTTTATATTTCAATAAATCACAAATCATGTTCAGTTCTTCAAATGCTCTCTCCTTATTGAACTGGACTTTACCACCCAATGCGTGATGCCACCATGGTTACTACCTGGATGTTTTATATTCAGTGTATAATTAGTAAAAATAGATTTTTTTATATGGAATATGGATTTATATTTATTAATGACCATGCCAAATAGGCCTGTAACAAAGACCTGAAAAGCGGTCCGGTGCTTGATTTTGCATGAAAACCACAGACCTGGCAACCCATGAGAGAAGATGAAGAAGAAAAAGAAGAAGACGAATGCAGTGATGAATCGATGTGAAAAGTTTTAATTTGGCATTTACCTGGACAAGGTCTTCAGGAATCTGCTTGCTATTCTCTGACACTCTGATTGGAGGAATGATCCAGTCCCTCTTTACTCTGATCAGCCCTTTGCCTCTACTTCTCCATGGGTGAAGGACCTGAGGATGCAACTCTTCCTCACTATGGTGAGGTTCTGCAGAGCTCCACACCTGGAGGAGGGAAAAAAAATTACAGCATGAAACTCACTGGAAAATGAAGTTAGACATTAACCACACACACACACACACACACACACACACACACACACACACACACACTGCTTCCTACTACTGAGCTGTAATGGAGTTATAATGTGCAGCAGTCAGATCACATGTAAGTCACCTTCATGGAATACACACATTATATCATTACATTTGCAGCTGTTTAAATCAATGTTGAGAGTCTTCCTCAGAGCTCTAACGCTCCCTGTGGCCTGATGGAATGGCAGCGTAGAGCCGAGGCCATCTGTGATGTGGAGTTTGTGGGATTGTCTGGGGGCTGAAGGGGAGCAGGGCCGCAGATTCAGGTTACACCCACTAACATGTCATCATCCTTTGATCTGGGTGCAAATTCATCTCAGGACGAGGAAACAAAAACAGTCCTGCTCATTTCACAGGCTCTCCTTCAGCACATTGCTCGTCCTGATTGTGTACGCCCCAAAACACCCACACACACATTACATGCGAGCAGCCCACTCACACAACAGCTGTCGACTATGGATTTAGATCCTGTGCTTTCCCACCCGCATTCCTGCTCACACTCACAAATTCCCCTTTATGCTCAGCTCTGCACCTGACTGGGAGTTTGGGGTCACCTTACGGATCTGTTCGGCTGTAGGAATTCCACAGACACGCTCATATACATGATTTCCCCCCCACTCATATATGCACACACATAGAGACTGACATACATGCATGTGCAGAGACCAAACACCCACCCCCGCATAAGCTTATTTACACATTTCCGTAAGTTGCTTCCTGCTTCTCTTTGGGATTTGACTGTTCTCAGGATTACTCCTCATATGTTTAAGAGCTCAGAGGCTCGACCCACAAGACCAGAAATAAAGGCAGATCTATCAGCTATGCAAAAGGCTTTCTCATATATCTCTCTTTGCATTTACACACATGCAGTACATGTCTAACTATTAATTGTTAACCTATTTCATGAAAGTTTTATAGGGTGCGTAAATATGCTGAGTAATGGATAAAGAAAATTGTGAATATTTTTTAAACGGGCTGTGAGCCCATCCTGTCTCTAGGGTGAGTGATCTGCTATACTGATCCTCTGGTATGCTGCTGGGACAGTGAATGGAGGAATGGCAGCCACTGCTGGCATCTGCAGGTCGAGTCAGAGGGCAGGCTAATCTTAGACCGTTCTATATTCCCAACGCCTGGATACCTATTTAACTTTTTGTAGCCATCAACATCTACACACTGGCAAAGATGTTTACATTCAGATTCCAGCAGTGCGTGTCACCCACACCAAATCGCTTTGATAGTTATCTCCTTTCATACTAAAGACTTCCGATATATGAACTCACAAACTTCTACAGGCATAGCACACATACTGCATTGTTGGTTAATCTTAAAATCAACAACAGCTGCATCACAGTTGCTCCCCTCCTCTCCAAATACAGAACTTTCTAATTTTGTCTGAATTGGTCACATTTAAGAATGCACACACGGCCAGCTGCAGTGAAGTCAGTAACAATGCAAGTTCATGCAACTGAAAAACTTTGCAGAGCTCATCTCGTCTGCTTTATTTAAAAGACTGAAAACAGGTTTGTTGGACAAAGAAACGATTTTTGTAGCTTTTCCTCTGTCAGGAACCTGCTTACTTTTCTCTAACACTCCACTATGGTGGTGGTCTGCGTGCAAACCCAGTATATTTTAAATAAAGCAAGAAATATGTGATTGAAGTGGAGACTTCCAGCTTTGATTCAAGGGGTTTAAATTTATTCATCAACCATCCACTTTCTTCCGCTTAAATGCAAAAACTGAAGAGAATGCACTCTCAGGAAGAGCATGCAAACGGCACAAAGAAAAGCCTTGACCAGATGAATGAACTTAGTAACTGTGTAGGAGAGGGTTATCAAAGATAAGGCCTAAGGGCCAAAATTGTCCTGCCAAAGACTCCAATCTGGCCTGCTGGATAGTAGTGGAAAATGTGAAGGAGGACTTTTAACTGTACTTTTAACAAGTTTTACAACTTTTCCAGCTGATAAAAATCTTCTCCATGGCCTTTTACACTAAACCAAAGTAATTAAGGTAAACTTTTTAGTTACTTAAATACCTATAGTATTAGAAGTACAGTTAGTATGTTAGTTAAGCTTCTTGACTGACAGAAAGGGGCGTGTCAGTGGGCCGACCCACTGAAGATCTAAGTTGGCTGTAGGTGGCCCATGATGTAAATGAGTAGGACTTACAGCCATTTTAATACCGTATCTTCCATTTCTCTATCAGAGGCTTGAAATTTTTAAATATGAGGCCCATAGATGAGATGTGTAAGTAACGCATGTCATAGGCTAAAAAAAAAAACCCCAACAACAACAAAAAAACCCCAAAAACAAATCTATAGAAAAAGCGACTGATTCATTCTTTTAAAAAAATGAATGCACTCAGAAGCTCAGCAACACAAAAACGCCGGACAAATCAGAGAAGACAGTTAAAGTGGATGATGATGGGGTTATTTCCATGGTGAAGAAAACACCATCACAACATCAGCAACAAGAGGTTTTCAAACATGAACCCCTGATAACAAATCGACATTTAACTTTTTCTTTCTTTGTTTCTCTTTTTAAACACTCTGAATCACTGACTTGTCCCATTGCTTCAACTTAAGATGAGGCTGTGTTTTGGAAGACAGTGTCTCCATCAGCACTGTTAAAATGCTTTTACCAGACCGAAATGCGGCAGCACCAAAGTGTCGTGTTACCAATTAGACCGGCGAGTGCCTCTCCTGACAGGCTGAGCGACGACACCACACACAGATTAACTGTTTTTAGAGGCTTTTCCCAGATACTTTTACAGTTTGGCCTTTCACCTCGGACCCTCACAGGACCACGGACGCCTCGTTTGGGGACGACGTGCCTTCACAGCAAGAACCATTAAGCACTCGAAGGAGTCTTTAACAGGTTCGAGAAAGTTTGACTCTAACTCACTGATGCCGGCTTCGGAGAAAAAAGCATACCATCACACTGTGAAGAGTACTGAAATACTGTGAAGCAAGAGATGGATATGTGTTATGTTGCATGTGGTAAGTTCCACTGGGGGAAAATCTATTAGGTTTTCTGTTGCACATAATGTTTTCTAAGTGATGTAATTTGCAGTAAAAACGAACTTTCTTAAATTACTTTAATACTTACTTAGTATTAAAAGAAAAGATACGCAGACACATATCTGTTCCATCCAAACACAATGTCAGGCATGCATACCAGCAATTCATCATGAGGCGATTACTGTAAAACTACTGCCACTATTGTCAACCCTGCAAATGCACTCAATCTGAGACATTCCGTCACAGAGCCCTCTGAGCTGTCCACCTTCCAAGTACTGTTACTGTTACAAATGCATTATTTGTTGGACATGAACCACTGTTACAAAAAAGGCAATGGAAATGTATGCCACAGGTTGCAAAACAATGTTTTTTCACACAATATGGGAGTCATCTGAAATATTCTGTAAAGTAGAGACACAAGTTACAAGGTGTAAAATAGTGAAGGATAACAGGGAGAGATTAAAAGCAAAAGTAAGGCTTTGTAGTATTTAAAATGACATTATATTGATGAAGTCTTGTCCCTGACAATTCACCATGTCTGTAGTGAAGTCAGCACCTCTGTTTATCCTTGCACCAAATCTCTATCAGCCTGAGTATCTTCTTTCTGCATGCATTTGTGTAACAGTCGCACAAATAGCTCAAGAAAACACTGAGTGTTTGAGAAGCCATGGCTGCAGCATACCAGGGAGTACCGGCTGCAGGCTAGAGGTCACACAGGTGTCCCTCAGGTCACTTTTGTTACCGGACCTCAAGCACAGACTCTCGACCGCTCAGCCACCAGCAGTACTGATCCCACAGCTCCACTCTTTGCTAAGTCATGATTGCCTGACATGGGCATATATACCCTACTTATGGTGGCACAACAAGTGTGCCTCCCCCTTAGAACAGATGTCTGAGCTTTAGGAATGCAATGCAAGGCTGTAAAATTCAGCTAAAAGTAGATTTGTTAGGGGCAAAAATAAGCATGGAGTTACTAAATAATAAAATTAAACAACGTGATCTGTGAAGTGTTGGGTTATATTAAAGTGGCCAGTACAATTATTGTACTGGCCACTTTACAATCATCCACACAGAACTAGGATTGTCTTATTGCATTGGAGTCACACTGGGTTAAATATGTACACTTGGGTTTTAAGGGGTATTTATTATTTTCTTCTTTTTTTTGGGTTGTATGGAAGCCCCAAACGCAATTTCATTGTTCTTGACAATGACAATAAATAAATAAATACTAAATACTAAACTTCACACTCAGACTGCAGGCTTACTTGTGGTTCCTAAGATAAAAGTAGAATAGGAGGCAGTGCTTTCAGCCGTGGACCCAGCTCCCAGGTTGGATTCAGGAGATTCAGGAAACAGACACCCTCTCTACTTTTAAGATTAGACTTAAAACTTTCCACTCTGATAAAGCTTATAGTTAAGGCTCGATCAGATGACCAAGAATCCTCCCTGAGTTATGCTGCATCAGGTCCAGGCTGCTAGGAACCACTCTGCATTTAATCATTAGTTATTAATAATCTCAGGCTCGACCACAGCATGTCTTTGTCCCGTGATCCTCCTCTCATCCCCAAAAAATCATGGCAGATGGCTGCCCCTCCCTGAGCCTGGTTCTGCAGGAGGTTATTCCTGTTAAAAGGGAGTTTTTCCTTCCCACTGTTGCCAATCCTTGCTCATAGGGGGTTGCGTGATCACAGTCTTTACCGTTAATATAAAGCACCTTGAGGCCTTTAGTAAAGAAAATGCATTGTACAAATCCTATTAACTGGAATATATAAAACAACAAAAACAGTCTATTCATCCTCAAGACCTCTTAGACTCATTGGAGGTGGAAGCATCACTGTAAGCTTATACTGTTGGGAAATATGTGATTAAAACCTACTTAGTGGAAATTTAAAGTTTCCAGGAATAAAAAAACATTATGCAAGATAAAAGTCTTGGGCTTGAATTATTCACAATATAACAGCCACTAAATTCAGGAACATCAAAACAAGGAAACTCAAAGTAATAATTCTCATGAAAAAGAAGTTATGACAGTATTTAACAAACTACTCAGCAGTTTTCAAGAAATGCTGCATGCGTCCAAGTCATTTGGATGTCCTTTTAACATCTCTGTATGTGTTAATTTACGATTTCACCAGGGATACAAATGGTCCATGGTAGAAACCCATCATAGCACTGCTGCTGAGTTATTCTTGAGGGTGCGTGAGTATATGTATGACCTCTAAATTACCAACTGTCACCACACGGCTTTCCACGTCTCAGTCTGTAAGAAAGAGGCAGCACAAAGAAAAGGAAATTGACTTTACTGCTTAGCTGAATCTTTTTTTTATGAAATTGAAGTTGTATTTTGTACCCTTTGCTCTTTCTGAAACTCTAGCTAGCGCAAACAGCCTGCAGGTATCCACACCCAGCAGGACCTGTGATTCAGACCCTCTGACTGATTGTTTCCGATGAGTGAGACCTCAGCGCCAGCTGGCCAGCCGCTCCACACTCTTGATTTGTACCCGATTTCATGGTCCAGATGCGACGCACTCCTCTTTCCGCAAGGGGGGATTACAGAGCGGGACAAATGGCATCACATATGCATCTGGGAACAGCTGTGGCTGTTGCCCTCTCTTCGCCACAGCGTACCCAAAGCAGGCACCAACACTCGAGTTCAAACAGCTTACTGAAAAATTAAAACACAACTGAAAGCTATCAGGTGACACTAGTGAAAGCCTTTGGAGTGGCCTGACAACCGCTGATGGTTCAATTAATTTTATTTATGTAGCAGAGACCTTGACAAATTTCTTTCACTTGTGAAGTGTACACAGAAGAGAAACAATGCCCAAAATGTTTGTGCATTTGCCCAGCGTGTCCATCTGTAACGTCTTAGGACCGCTGGCTGGGATTACTTTGAACACATTTCTTTTTCATTCAGATTGAAGATTTGGGGTAAGTTGTTTATATGCTATGTGTGTTAATTCGGTCTGTTGTGTACACGTGGTGAGTTGCTAAAATAGAACCGTTTGGCATGAGCAAAAATAATGAATACAAGATGCATTTGTCCTCCTTCCTTCCTTTTATTGTACACCTTTGACTCATTCATCCTAGAAGATGGATGTCTGTTCAGCTCAATCGCTGCTGTAAGATTTGTATTAAAAGATTTTGTATTAAAAACAAGCTGTCTCCGGAAAACTGCCTAAACTTTGAAGCAGGTATTTGTGGAAAGGGCAGAAGTGTGTGTCCAATTACACATTTGCATTTTTACAGCCCTTTTTATAGGTTTTATGCACAGACAGGCAGACATACTCAGGGAGAACGCAGCTAAAGAGTAATCAGTTTGATTTGTTTACGTACTTCTCTTCTGATTGGTTTATGGAACGGTTTACTCCACACATGGGCTTTGCATCAGTTTCATCTTGTTTGCTTTGGTTGAAGGGTTCATGCGGTACATTTCTATTGTGTTTGGGCATTTAAACCAATCTCAATCAAAAATCAGTCATTACAGCAGTGCAGAAGAATAATATACTTAGAGTTTCTAGACTCCAAGCTCATCGCTCCCCAAAAGTATGATACAAATACAAATTAGGGATTGATGAGGAAACAACTCCCTAGAGTATTGAAGTGGATGCTGGGCTGGTGTAGAGGTCTACACAGGAAGCGGCAGCCAGAACAGAAATCTGTATCTGCAATCTTCTTAAACGTTTTACTGAACTGGATTGGTGACATGAGGAGATTGTGACACGTATGAAGGCTTTGGTCCAGCGTTGGAAGCTGCATGGCAAACCACAACATATATCAAATCCGAAATAAGGCAACAGGTATTTGGGAAGTTCTCATATGTGAACAACAATTGCTTACGTTGTAATTGGACCAATACTTATATAGCACCTTTCTACTTAACTCAAAGGAAATTCTACCAAAAGTCGAATTCACTCACTCACACAGTACAGTCCAAAGTCATGAGGTTAGGGCTACTGGTCATTCTAAATTGGCCATTGGTGCGAATGTGTCTCTGTGTTAGCCCTGCGTCATACTGGCAACCAGTCCAGGGTGTACCCTGCCTCTGGGCTATGGTAGATAGGACAGGCTCCAGCCCCCCCGTGACCATGGTAAGGATAAGCTGAAGACCATGAAAGAATGATTTTAGCATTGGACACCGACCACTGTACCTACCATAAATCTGCTGCTCCATGTGTGCTAATAGACAGTTTTCAGAAGAGCCATAAATGATTGCTTTTTTTTTTTAGGTTATATTGTATTATATGGATGTTTTACTCTCACTCTGGGACTTGTAACACCTCCAGCGTTTGAAGGAGCAATGTGATCCCCTATCACCCTCTACACTCAGAGCCTAAGCAGCTGTCTGATATCAGACCTGAGGACTGGGATCCTGAACTGTAAAGGTCACTTCAGTGTTTACTGAGCTTTCAAATCATTTACAGGATTATTTATGTGCATATGAAGAGTTATAAATAAAATGGTTACTGATGTCCTGTGACAAAATAGCTTCCTCTGTAGCCGGTGTCAGTGATTTATCACACGCGTGACCAAAAGAGACAATGTATATTATCTCATTATTATTAGTTACCGAATACCCAAATGATCCGAGCAGCAGATCAGAGAAACCGGCGGAAAACATGCGAACCGTTCATTTTGATAGCTTTATAGGATCAGCCACATTTATAGTGAATTATAAAACATCATGGCAAGACTTCCCTCACGAAACCTGGGCTGCATTACTACTCCAAACAGAGAAGAGGACTGATGGTGGTTGGAAGGGCTGTGGGCAATAAGTCAGTTTACATTGTCCTCCATTATAGATTTCATAATGGTGTCTGCTGACAGGGGCTACTAATGATGCCATGAGCCCTCTGTACACATCTGGAGTCTCCTGTTCCTCAAAACACTCCGTCATCCTCCTCAGACTTGGATGTAATGTTTATGTCAGGCCCGATCTCTGATTGCAGAGCCGGTGAATGGTGCGTCTATTGATGAAAATGAGTTACTGCTTGGCCAAGGACACGTTTCAGGTAAAAACATAAACTGTATATTTAAAGAGCAGAGCAGCTAAAGGTCGTCCTCTAAACAAGAGCACGAGCAGGAAGCAGAGAGGTTCTTGGAAGCTGGCCCAGTGTAGATCCGTACAGATTCACATGGTCACAGCCAGTCTGATACATGCGTTCAGTTACTTCTCGCTGATATTTTTATAGCATGCAGAAAGTGGAGCACATGTACTCCCTCCAATAGCTCAGGCACCTGTGCACTGAGTTTAATATTCACCTCTCAGCATCTGCTACAAAACTGCTATAAGTCAGTGCGACCAGTTTGGATGTTTTAAAAACTGGCTGCCTTTTTAATCAACTACACACACACACACACACACACACACACACACACACGCACGCACGCACGCACGCACGCACGCACACACACACACACACACACGTAGCCTAAAGCTCCAATAAATCATGAAAGTTTGTTCATCTCAGTCAACAGGTGGTATGAGGAGACAAAGATTTTTTCTTACCCGACAAACCAACGTAGCGAGCGCGCACACCATCAACATCCGGACCGCCATCCTCAATTCCTACACTCTCAAACTCAGCACAGACAGATCTCTGATGACTGAAAAATCTGAGGGTCCACACAAAGAACCGGGCTGCTGAGCGGCTCCCCTGAACAAAACAGGCCTGACTTTCCAACCCTGAAACCCGTCCCTCTCTTCCCTTCTCTCCAACCGCTCTCAGACTGTCTCTCTCTCCCCCTTTTCCTCTCACAGCATCTGTCTCTCACAGCTCCACCCTGTCCATAGCTGGGGTATGTCTCACAGTCATGGAGTTAGAATTTCAGAAGCAGGCCTCCCATGTATCCCAGCACATGTGCTGTCACTCACAAGTCCAGTGAGAGAGAGAGGGGGAGAGGGAGAGAGAGCCAGGGCAGCTGTTAGCGGTGCAGACAGACACTGTGTCTTCACCAGTGAATGAGTTTTAAACACTTCAGAGACACCAAGCAAAAGAAGTGAATGAAAGAAAGACCAGACGGGATGTAAAACAATTAAAAATGCATTATTAGTTCTGTTGCATTAAACTGCAGAACTAATCGCTATGTTGATTCTTTTTAAGCTGATTTCTCCTCTAAAAGTCTTTTTAGTGATTACAGCTTGGAAAAGAGTGAGTCTATAGGAGAGAGAAAGTTGAACCATTTCCAGTTAATCAATCTAATGTAATACCTGCAAATCCACACCTCAATTTTATAAAGCAAGGGTGTCAAACATAAGGCTCGGGGGCCAGAATCAGCATGCCAAAGACTCCAATCTGGCCCACTGGAAGGTTTTGGAAAACGTGAAGGAGGGCTGAGATTTTTAACTATAGCTTTTCCTACTGATGAAGACCTCCTCCACTGCCATTCACGCAACACCAGTGTAATTAAGCAATAGATAAACAATTAAATGGCAAATGTTTTTCCATGAACTACCATAGAAATGTCTCCACAGTAAAAAACAAACAAACAAATAAATAAATCTATTAAAAAAACAATTTTATAATTAAAATAACCGAGGCACACTGTTAAAAGTGCACTCCTTTTTCTTATGCTCAGATATTTCAGGGATTAAATGAGACCTTAAGCTTCTTTACACTGACAGGATAGAGGAGTTTCATTAGTCTTGCACACTTCAGGTCAAAGTGGGCCGGATGTGGCCCACAGTGTAAAATAAAACCGCTATAAAGGGCAAGTGAAAAGATGACTTTAGTGGAAGATTTCTTCAGAATGTAAAAAGTGTTGTCATATGTGTGCAGTGATATAGCATCTGGAAAAACTGTGATGGACACTGCGGAGCTATGACAGCACCAGCGCTGCGTGCGGGCAGACCGCACCTTAATGAGCTCATGAGGAGGCATTACATGGATGATGATGCCGTAAAGATTTCAGGCTCTCAACTGCTCAACAGCTCCGACTCAAATATTGTTTCAACACCAGTATTGCTCCACTTACAAATACGTCAAAAAACAAACTCTGCATGTCCTCCTTCACTTCCTGTCTTCCTCTTTTCCTTCTGCCTGGCAGCTGTCCGATATATCCACCATCCCTCCTCTGTACATGTCAAAACCATCTCAGCCTTGCCTCTAACTTCATCCCCTAATTGCTCTACCTGAGTTGTCCCTCTGATATACCCATTAATCTTGTCCACCCACTAACGCTTAAAAATATCACATAACGCTTAAAAGCTTGGCTCATTTTTCAAAAAAGTATCTCACAGGGCAGATTGAGCAATTTATATATTGCTTTCCAGAGCCAGGTTTTGGCAATAATAAACACACACGCACAAATGTTGCATTCATAAACATTTATAACTATTTATGTTAGAAGATGAGCTGTTTAAAACTGAAGACAATTCGCTGCTTTGCGGTTCAGTACAAAGATCGCGTCTGATATGTGCAGCGTTTTTTGTGGAACTTCTTCAGCTGAAGAGGTTTCGATTGTGGATAAAATGAAATACTTTCGCAGTTTGTCGGGCTTCAAACTCTAAACTGGTGCTACAGCATCACATGTCTCATGCCAGCAAGCAAGGATCACTCCATTGTAACAGTCAGACAGTATTACTGCATTAACTCATACACTTGTTACATCAGGACATCTCTAAAGACAAACTGCTGAAGAAATCCCAGAGAGCTGAATAAAGCCCATTATTTAGATGGTGTGTAACACATGTCTCAGCACCCACGATACGCATTTTACTGTTAATCTGTAGTACTGAAATATAAAATTGCGCTTTTAAATAACTGCAGATTCAAGCTGTTTAGAATTGTAACTACCTTCAGGCAGAGCAGGTGAGCTACTTTCAACCTTTAACTGGTTGTATTGACTTTAGCCTTAAAGCGAGCAGCAAGATAGCAATGTCGTATTAACCTGATATAAATCACTACATGAAAACAAAGAGGTGTTATTCTAAATATTCTACACACATATATTCTTTCAGACTGTTTTCTTTACATTCACAGCAAATAGTTACACCAAAGAAAATGTCTTAAGTACAAAAAAGCCTGGATGATCTCTAATTTCCATATCAATCTAATAGAGCTCTTCACTCTCAGACTGCGGGCTTACTTGTGAATCCTAGAGTATTTAAAAGTAGAATGGGAGGCAGAGCCTTCAGCTTCAGCTCCCAGTTTGGACTCAGGAGACAGACACCCTCTCTACTTGTGAGATCAGGCTTTAAACATTCCTTTCTTCTACAGCTTGTAGTTAAGTGCTTGCTCCAAGGGGCTTGTTTGATTGTTGTGGTTTTTCGTTCATATTATTGTAGCGTCTTTATCTTACAATATAAAGCACCTTGAGGTGACTGTTGTTATGATTCAGTGCTTTATAAATAAAACTGAACTGAATTGATGATTTCGATAAAAATATGCATAATCACACACCCATGGTGGTAAATTATATCAGCAGGTTACTATCATTTTTCCTGTGTAAAAGTAAATACACAAAAACCAGCAGTTCATCTAAATGCTCTCCATGCTTGATGGTAAACCCTTGATGACTTCACTGACTGCTGCATAAACAGAGGTAAATATTTTAGCAGCGTCTCCACTGACAGCACCACACGTCTCTTTCATTCTTCTCTAAGCCTCTCTTTCTATCAAAGCAGAAGACAAAAAAACTGCGAGGCTCTCTGGGTGATATCGTTTCTGTCATTTTAAGTGCGACTGAAAGGCTGCAAAGTGTGTTCCAGCCGACCGTGTTGGCCTTAAGAAGGGGCTATTGTCGTTCAGGGTGGAGGCATGGAGGGAGAATTGAGAGTGAGAAAGTTTATGGGATGGCTCAATGGGGATAATGGAGTATTTGCAACCCTCTCAGCAAGTTTGTTCACAGGTCAAAGGTCGACACGGATCTTTGGAAAGCAAACAGCTTCGGACCACAACGACTGCTCCTTCGACACAAAGACTGCTTTACTCAAAATCGAAATTGAAGACAAACTCGGACATCGAGCGTGGGTAAAATGAAAAAACGGGTTATGAATGCAGAGCCACACTTGCGACAGAGATACTGTTGATACCACAGCCATGAAACTCTCATGCTAGAAAGTAGAGCAGTGAAATAACCGAGTGAATTGGCAGGCTGTGTGTGCTGAGTGGGTGTCTGCATGCTTTCATGTGTCACTGTGTTCATGAATATGTGTGTGTGAGAGAGGGGTCTTGTATAAAGGGGCGATTTTACAGCACCTGTCTCTGTCATTTCATCCAGAGGCAGTTGGCAGGAGCCACCCTGATGTTTCACTTCCTTCACTTCCCCTGCCCCCCACACACGCTTACAGCAAGCGTTCATAAGAGAAATTTCAGGTATAGAAGACAAACGCTCATCTCTCAGGTAGCTTAGATCGATGTTTTGTGTACAAGAGCGATTCTTATGAATGAGAGCAGAAGTGGTGCTAAAGTTTAAGAGTTGAACCAATTGTAGCAATTTTCAGATTCAGATACAGTTTGCTGCTGCTGCCCACTGTTGGCACAAATAACTGTTCACATTGAAATGCAAAGATCAGTAACTTATTAGTATTTTTTATTTTTTTAAAGTTGTACCATTTTTACACATCATAATCTGTTATAAAATAATACTTTACCTTGAATGGAAAGGCTTTGGAGAAATTACAAGGTACTTAATTTTCTGAGTTTAGGCGCTCAGTTAACAAATTAAAAGCAGACATTCTATGAAATCATTTATTCGGGACTCAAAGGAATGGACAAGTTGTTCATGGTGATGGCGTCTTTGCCTTTGTGAAGTGATGTCAAAATAAATCAATATAAATATATATCAGACCAAGCAGAAGACATTATTAGCTTCAAAGGCTTGTTCGCACAGGATCCCACTGAGGTGATAATAGCAAAGAAGACCTGTGGTGCTCTTGAAGCTGGAGTCAGGTCACGATACAATATTTTGGGAGCACGCAGGTGGCTAGGAGCCCCACTGATCAGGAAATAAGAACCCAACCTGGTACTGCTTGGCTCACCTGGCAGACAGTAACACCATTAATAATGAATATTGGAAGGAGGCATATGAAGCCTGTTCTTGGTTTTCACACTACATCGTGGATGTCAGTGACATGCATTGTAGCGAAACATTTGCACAGTTTGATGGTTTCTGGTCTTCTGTAGTTGCCATAGAGATGTTGTTTCAGTTGTGTGTTTTCATTTTGAGCTTTTTAAGGTGAAAATCTTTAACTTTGAATTTCATTTTTGTGGCTTTGGAAGACTGGCTGCTTTTTTCTTTGTTTTAAGTCTCGTCTGAATTATTTAGGCATAAAAAAAGCAACTAACTTAAGGGATGAAACAGTGATGTGTACACAGATAACAGACAATGTAGCAAAGAACCAGTTTTATCTTTAGACATTCTTTTACTTGCAGCCTGTTGCAAACTCAACATTTGTTCCCATTTTTTCAGTCAAATCTAAGAAAAATGCCAAAGGTGGCACAGTTTGACAAACACAAAATAATATTTTTTTCCACCAAAAAGATGATTTTCAAAGAGGAATGTTGGCAAATATTTGAGGAAACTGGACAAATAGAGGATAAAAAAACAAACAAGCATAAACACACTGGCTGGAACACGCAAAAGTACCGTCAGATTACCGTCCACTAACACTATCTGGAAAACAGGCTTCATTTTTCACCATGACTATGATCACAAACCATCAAGAAACCTGGAAAACTATTGCTGAAGACTACTCAAAGGAAA